AAGTGTTAACGCCCTATAGTCTGGTTGCCTGGTTCGCCGCATTGACACCTCCTTCATGGACCAAGACGTTGGGTCAAGAGTGATCAGATACTTTTTCGAACACCCCTGTACTTCCTACAAGGGGGCTGAAGCTGACGACTGGAAAACTTTCAGATTATATTAAAACGGCCGCACATGAGGAACACAAGCTTTCGAGCAAAATACATAAATAGATTTACAATAAAATTGTCTCGTACAATTCTCATACACTTCACTCGAACATTATGTCTTTTGAGCATTGACCCTCTATCAAGCGAGCGGCTACAAGGACGTCTTCAAAATAATGTTCTGGTTTGTGGCGGTCCTTGCCCTTGGGTGGACTCTTCACTGCAACGTCGATGGCCTTCATATTCCCCCAGAACGTCTTGACTCAGGCAAAAGCCATCTGTGCACCTTCGATACACGCTGATCGCTTCACAGTGTCGATACGAGGCACTGCGTCAACAAGCCGCTGCACCAAGCCGAAGTAACTGTTCAGAATAGGCTCAGTTGGCCATAACCGGATTATGATGTTCTTCATGGTAGCATCGGATATCCTATGAAGCTCGGCCCACTGGGACATCTGCTCATTCAGCAATAGGGGGCGCTTCGAGGCGCCGAATTGTGACCAGAAAAGCTTCTCCGTTGCGTACCCGTCTCGCGCATGATAATACTGCGCCGCATCGGAAGAACTCTTCGGCAAGTCTAAAAACTCGTCCGGAGAACTCCACAATTGGTTAAGCTGAGCATAGTTCGGATCACCGAACTTAGCCTGTAGCAAAAATGGCTTACCAGCTGCAATCTCCCTAGCTTGCCGGATTTCCTCACGGGCTGCTCTGGATTCAGACCGCGCTTCTCTCGCCTCTTGTAGGGCCTTGTCAATTTCAGCCGTTTTGGCTTCATTCTCCTTCTCAAGGAGTTCACACCGGCTAGTAGCACTTTTTAGCTCGAGCGCCATTGTGGGTATCTTCTCCTCGTCTTGACGCCGAGCAGCTCGTTCGGCTTTTAACTCAGCCGATGCCTTCTCGGTAGCCGCATTACTACACCGGGCCTGCTCCATGGCCCGGGCTAGCTCCGCCCGAAGAATTTTAACGGTGGTAGCCCCATCTGTAGCCAGGCACAACTTTCAGCATCATGCTTATATCACAAAAATGTATGCGCAGGGACTGCTCCGAATACATACCTTGCGCCTCGTTAAGACGCATATTGATTAACGTGATGTCATCCCCGGCTACATCAAGCTTCCGTTGTAGTTCGGTAATATCCGCAGTCTGGGAAGTAGCCAGGGGAAGCAACCTGTGTTCAAAGTTAATCAGATTAGTCCTCGGATATTTCTTTTGATCCTCCATTTGCTTCCTATGGGAAGCCAACCTGAGTCTCAGGGGCTACTGTCTATACACAGGTGTATTTTCTGAATAAAACACAATTGCACATATTACAGTACAAACCACGAAGCCTCTCGGCAGACTTGCAAAGGCCTCATTCAATACGCTCTTTGCGGATAGGACCTTTTTTACCACCGTACCCATCAAGGTACGATGTTCCTCTGAAATGGACGCTTGTCGCAGCATGTTCGTCAAGATATCTGGCGCCTCTGGGTCTCCGGAGGCAGCCGCAGGAGTACGGTCACCCTTTGAAGGGATCCGTTTATTTGTATCCAGCTGCATTCCGGATTGTTCGGGGTCTTCATTGTTGTTTCCCGGACCCTGGGCCGCCGAAGTATCACCTTCGTGTAGCGTCTTCGTCATCCCTGGCACCACTTGTTGGTCGGAGGAGACCCTCCACGACGACACCTCAAGATCGTCTGTCCTATTGGACGAAGAAGCCGGTGGGGGCGTCTCGCTTTCCATCATCTCCGGGAGAAGGTCCCCCGAGGAAGAGGATTGTTGAAGGGGGTTGCGCGCTGAGCTGCAAAAAATATATATTCCAGGCATCATAAGAAAAGAACGGGATAGGTTTAAAACAGCCTTGTTCGCTTACGATTTGGCCGGAGGCTTGTCCTTATCATGAGACTGCACTTCGACGTCCTCCAGGCCCGGGCCGCCCCCCAAAGGCATCTTGCCACGCTTAGGAGCTTGATTCTCCCAATCTTCAGAGGCGGCCCTCTTCTTCCTGGTGGGGAAGGAGATAGTGGGCCCCTCTTCACTTTTGTCTTCAGATGAGGGGATTTTTATTCCTCTGGACGCAAAGTCCGAGGTTCCCTGGGAATAGAGGCCATCCTTGGCTCTTGCCCTCTGCCTCATCCTCCTTCTCCGGCATCTGGTATGGTGTTGGGGCCAGCATCCTTGTTAAGACAGGATTCGCTGGACCCTCGGCAGAGGGGCCGAACACATAATCAGTCCCGCCTTCTTTATCCAGCCCTAGAAAAAGATAGCTTGCTCAGTACCATATTACTGTATGCATGACCACAAAGTATTCGAAAGCCAAGTGCTTACCGGGGTATCCGGACGATTACAGTTAAGGCCGACATCCTCAGCAGTATCTGGCCAATGTTTCCGCTTCCCGAAAAATAACTTCCACATCCCTTTGTGTGTGGCGCCGAAGAAGTGTTGGAGGCTTTGTGGTCCTTCTGGATTAAACTCCCACATGCGGCGAGGCCTGTGCTGGCAGGGTAGGATTCGACGAACTAACATCACTTGGATCACACTAACGAGATCGATATCCCTCTCGAGGAGGGTTCGGATGCGGCTTTGTAAGGTCCGCACTTCATCCACTAATCCCCAGTCTAGCCCCTTGTTGACCCATGACGCTAGCCGTAACGGTGGGTCGGGACGGAAGGTGGGGGCAGCTACCCATTTAGTACTGTGGGGCTCTGTGATATAAAACCACTCCCGCTACCAGTAATTGGAAGCCTCGGAAAAAGAACCTTTTGGCCAGGGAGTGTTGGCGAGTTGGCTGATTATAGCACCGCCGCACTCCGCCTGTTCCCCGCCGACTACCTTCGGCTTTACACTGAAGGTTTTGAGCCATAAGCCGAAGTGTGGGGGATTCGAAGGAAGGCCTCGCATGTAATGATAAACGCCGAGACATGGAGGATAGAGGTCCGGGGCAAGATCGTGAAAATCTAGTCCGTAATAAAACATTAGCCCTCGGACAAATGGGTGAAGAGCAAACCCTAACCCCCGGAGGAAGTGGAAGACGAATACCACCCTTTCGCCGGATCTGGGGGTCGGGATAACTTGTCCTTGAGCAGGAAGCCGGTGGTGGATCTCTGCGGTCAGTTATCTGGCCGCCCGAAGCTTTGTGATATCCTCCTCTGTAACAGAGGAAGCCACCCATCAGCCTTGGGAGCTGGATCCGGACATGATGGGAAGTCTGAAAGCAATGGAGTCGAACCTTGGGTGCTGGAACTCAGGGCTGGGGAGGCTTAGGAGAGGTTTGGCATAAAAAGACGGCCCTTCGTTCCTTTATATACACCTCCGGTATTGAACGTCTCCTCCTAAGCCTAAGAACCTGCCTATTTCTAAGGAATCTTTCTCGCAGGATGGTTGGGTTACCCACGCTCGTATTGATGAGAATCCCGTAATAAGGGGACACGATCTCTGCTTTGACAAGACGTGCCAATGACAACCGTGTCTCGAAACGTGGGGCGAAAAACGGTTCAAAATTATGACCGGACAGGCGTGACGTCGCATTACTAAAGTTGTCAGCAGATTGGACTTGTGTGTTATTATATTCTCTCTGCGGTTGTGTGCGGTGTGTGTTACAGGTCCGGACACGATCAATTCGTCTAGAGACTATTCGGGAGTTCGGAAGGAGGAACCCGCCTTGCAATGCCGAAGACAGTACTACGCGCCGGATACCTTGTCATTGAAGTCAGGTTCAGGGGCTACTAAGGGACTCCTGGACTAAGGGGTCCTCGGGCATCCGGCCTGTTATCTATGGGCCCGACTGATGGGCTGTGAAGATATGAAGACCGAAGACTGTACCCGTGTCCGGATAAGACTCTCCTTGGCGTGGAAGGCAAGCTTGGCGAACAACAATGAAGATTCCATCTGATGTAACCGACTCTATGTAACCCTAGATCCCCCCGGTGTCTATATAAACCGGAGGGTGAGGTCTGGAAAGGATATACTCAATACCTTAGTCATACAGGCTAGACTTCTAGGGTTTAGCCATTAAGATCTCGTGGTAGATCAACTCTTGTAATACTCATATTCATCAATATCAATCAAGCAGGACGTAGGGTATTACCTCCATCAAGAGGGCCCGAACCTGGGTAAAACATCGTGTCCCTTGTCTTCTGTTACCATCAACCTTAGACGCACAGTTCGGGACCCCCTACCCAAGATCCGCCGGTTTTGACACCGACAAAGAGCAACTCCAACGCGGCGACCCAAATGGACGCGCGCTTTGTCCTTTTTCGTCCGTTTGGGTCAGCCAGGCGGACGGGCGTGTCTATTTTTCAATTTGGGTCAGCTGGTGCGCCCAACAGGAGGCTGGCCCAAATTGCCTGTGTTAAAAGAAAAATATAAATGATAAACACATGGACGGAATAAAAATTTAATAAAACATAACTAAACATAAATGGCCGGTCAACCGCCGGTTAAAGTCTACTTAAAACATTAATTAAACACTAAAAAAACTCCGGGTGCATGATACCCTAGGTGTCTGCCTTGCCGTTGCCCTTGCCCCGCTGCACGCTTTCATTAAAAAGGATGGGCACGCGGCCCTTCCACACACCGCCGGGCGGGCCTGAGGTAGGTGCTGGCGTTTAATACAATCGCGTGCGGTGGTTGGCCGGCCGACATGTGGGGCTATCACGGACAACAAGGGGACGCACGGCGCGGCCGCTTCGTGTTCGCACCCGATGCATTTCAGGCGCCTGAAATGCGTTGGCGCGGACACGAAGCGAACACATTTTGGGTTTGGTTCGACGCGTTGGGCTGGCGTTTTCGGCGACCCAAACGAACATGGGCGGGCGAAATGGGTCGCCCGGTTGGAGTTGCTCTAAGATGGCTACTACACAAGCTCTAGCCACCATGGCAATCTTCCTGCTGGTGGCGCTCTCAACCTCCCACATCGCATCCTCACTCCGTCCGAGTCAAGGTGTCTGCCATGCAAGTGGCTATCTTCTAGAAAAGTCGGGCAACTGTGAGAAGAGCAGCGACACGAATTGTTGTGAGGACAGCAAGAGATACCCGTAGTACTAGTGCTTGCCCCCGATCACCACGACCACGAAGGTCATCTTGACCGCGGCGACCCAAACGAACATGGGCAGATGAAATGGGTCGCCCGGTTGGAGTTGCTGTAAGATGGCTACTGCATGAGCTCGAGCCACCATGGCAATCTTCCTGATGTGGCGCTCTCCACCTCCCACATCGCATCCTCACTCCGTCCGAGTCAAGGTGTCTGCCATGCAAGTGACTGTCTTCTAGAAAAGTCGGGCAACTGTGAGAAGAGCAACGGCCTAAATTGTTGTGAGGACGGAAGGAGATACCCGTAGTACCAATGCTCGCCCCCGATCACCACGACCACGAAGGCCATCTTGACTCTCAACTGCTTTGAGAAGGGCAAGGACAGCGGTGGCTCATCGGAGTGTGACAATGCCTACCATAGCAATAAGGAGATGGTTGTCGCGCTGTCCACCGGCTGGTTCAAGAACATGGCCCATTGCGGGCACTGTATTAAGATCACTACCAATGGAAACTTCGTGTACGCCAAGGTGGTGGACAAGTGCGACTCTGTGTATGGCTGTGATGAAGATCACAACTACGAACCGCCATGTGCCAACAACATAGTCGGTGCCTGTCCAGCAATGTGGAACGCGTTAGGGCTCGACCAGAACGTTGGCATGGAGGGCATCACCTGGTCTGATGTAACGCCCTCGATGCGGCTATAGCTCCCACGTGTCGAGGCACGACTTAGAGGCATAACCGCATTGAAAGCAATGTCGCAACTTAGGCAATCTTCACAACATCCCATGTAATATAGATAATAAAAGGGGAGATACATAGTTGGCTTACACTCGCCACGTCAATCAAAGTACATAAATAGCATTACAACATTCAAGCACTCATGGCCCGACTACGGCGCCAAAATAAAAGATAAACCCAACATGCGACACGGTCCCGATCACCCCAACTGGGCACCACTACTGATCATCAGGGAAAGACATGTAGTATCGGCGTGAGTCCTCGTCGAACTCCCACTTGAGCTCAAGCGCGTCATCTGGAACGGAATCATCAGGCCCTGCATCTGGTTTGGAAGTAATCTGTGAGCCACAGGGACTCAGCAATCTCGCACCCTCGCGATCAAGACTATTTAAGCTCATAGGTAAGGCAAGGTAAAAATGTGGAGCTGCAGCAAGCGACTAGCATATATGGTGGCTAACCTATTCGCAAAAGAGAGCGAGAAGAGAGGGCAAAGAGCGTACGAGTAACTAAAGGACAACCTGCGCAAGCATTACTCCAACACCGTGTTCACTTCCCGGACTCCGCCGAGAAGATACCATCACGGTAACTCACACGGTTGATTCATTTTAATTAAGTTAAGGTTCAAGTTATCTACAACTGGACATTAACAAATTCCCATCTGCCCATAACCGCGGGCACGGCTTTCGAAAGTTCAAATCCCTGCAGGGGACTCCCAACTTAGCCCATGACAAGCTCTCACGGTCAACGAAGGAATAGACCTCCTCCCGAGACATTCCGATCAGACTCGGTATCTCGGTTCTACAAGACAACTCCGACAATGGTAAAACAAGTCCAGCAACACCACCCGCTATGCCGACAAATCCCGATAGGAGCTGCACATATCTCGTTCTCAGGGCACACCGGATAAGCTAAGCGTACGGGAGCCAACGTAACCCAAGTTGCCAAGGGACGGCCCCGCGCGGTGCTCTAGGTTGGACCAACGCTCAGAGGAGCACTGGCCCGGGGGTTTAAAATAAGATGACCCTTGAGTCTGCGAAACCCAAGGGAAAAGGCTAGGTGGCAAATGGTAAAACCAAGGTTGGGCATTGCTGGAGGAGTTTTATTCAAGGCGGACTGTCAAGGGGTTCCCATTATCACCCAACCGCGTAAGGAACGCAAAATCCGGGAACATAACACCGATATGACGGAAACTAGGGCAGCAAGAGTGGAACAAAACACTAGGCGAGAGGCCGAGCCTTCCATCCTTTACCAAGTATATAGATGCATTAAGATAATAAGATAATATAATGATATCCCAACAAGTAAATAATGTTCCGAATAGGAACAAGCCTCCAATCTTCACCTGCAACTAGCAACGCTATAAGAGGGGCTGAGCAAAGCGGTAACATAGTCAATCAACGGTTTGCTAGGACATGGTGGGTTAGAGGTTTGACGTGGCAATTTGGGAGGCATGATAAGCAAGTGGTAGGCATCATAGCATAGGCATAGCAAAAGAGCGAGCATCTAGCAAAGCAAAGATAGTAGTGATTTCGAGGGTATGATCATCTTGTCAGCAAAGTTGTCAGAGTTGACTAGATCCTCGAAAGCAAACTCAACGGGCTCCTCGTTAGCGAACTCGTCTCCCGGCTCTACCCAAACAAGACAAACAAGCAACAAGGACACAATCAACCACGTGCAAAGCTCAAACAATATGATGCAAAGATGGTATGCTATGCGGGATGCGATATGTGATGCATATGCAAGATTTGACAAGGAATGAATGAAACTGGCCTCAACTTGGAAATCCAAGTGTGTCACTGGAAAGGTGAGATGAAATCGCTTGAAAACGATATAAAGATCACCGGAATCGGAGTTACGGTTTGGAAATGGCAAGCAATTCAAATATGGCACCGGTCTGCGATTTACAGCAAGTAGTCATCTAAATGCAACAAGATGAACATGCTACAGCACTCAAACATGGCATCAAAATACATGGCAGGGATCCATTCATGATGATTAACAAAAGATGAACACTGAGCTACGGCCAATTCATCCATTAACAGGTTCAAACAAGCATGGCAAAAACATAATCAGATCACAGACTTGGTGAAAAACTGGAGCATGCAAATCAGATATCAAGTATGCATGTTAACGAGCTCGATACACTCACTACAGAGCTAGTCATGACAATCTAAGCATACACCCATCAATAATACACATTATACAAGCTAGACATGGCAAGAACATTAACATAGCATGCACGGATCAATTACAACATCCTCGGCAAAATTGCTAACAAGTAGACAATCTGCCCAGATTCACGAAATAGAAAATATAGAGCTCGATTGACTCAAGCTAGGCTGCTCCATAATTGCAAATAAAGACATGGATGGAGAGAGCACTACAAGATTAACAAATCATCCTTACTGATCATCCTCAAAAGAGGCACGGATCACTAGGAAATAATATGAACATATGGCATATTGAGATAAACAGATCAAGGACTTAGTGGAAATGCTAAGTCCCTGAAATCAGCATTAACGAATGATCCACTTTGCAAGCTTGTGCTACTCACCACACACATCATAAAAATACATGGGTTGCACCTCTGGAAAGATGGCAAAACATATAATAAAACACGTGTAGAGCTCAGGGGCATATCATGCACACAATAATCATGGCAAAAATGACAAATATCTAATTGGAGCAGCAGATCTGACAATTATCTCAAATAGCACTTTTCCAACAGCATTTCGGATATCAAGATGAACTCAAATGAAAATGATGCAATGAGATGAAATGATGTGCTCTCTGAGGCGAACATTTTGATATGCTATATGACCAAAACGGAGCTACGGATGCAAAGTTACGATGCAATGAACAAGGCAAAATAATTAGGGTTTCGGGCAAAAAGTCAACCCGAGACAAATCCCAGATCTAGATCCGGCCAGGCGCGGTTTACGAGGATCGCCGGAAAGACTGTTCACCAGGGGCGGGGACGATGTCGGAGCTTGTTGGAGGCTGCCGGAGGAGGAGAAGACGCCCGGGGCGGTGGTGGCGATGGCGGTGGCCGGCGAGGCAGGTCCGGCCGCCGGAGG